GAAAGAGACGAGTGAGCGATACAGGGAGAGAAACACAGAAGAAGAGACGAGATCGCGGCAGGGAGAAGCGAAGAGGAAAATGAGTGAAGAGAAGAGTTAGCGATACAGGGAGAGAAGCGGAGAGGAGAGTGAACAGGCGTGTTAGCGGCAGACAGGGAGAGACACATAATTACACATGGCACTCTCCAAGAAGAGGAAAGTGGACAGTGAGAACAGAGCTTTTAACCCTGAGTGGACGGACTCATTCATGTTCATCCTGCCCACTGGGAGCACAGAACCAGTGTGTCTCATTTGTTCAGAGACCGTGGCGCTCATTAAAAGTGCCAAAACGCCACTATGAGACAAAACACAAAGTCTTTGACCAAACATTCCCTCTCAAGTCAGAACTGAGGTCACAAAAAATAAGCAGTCTCAGAGCCCATGATCAGTCCACCAGGATCAAAATGAAAACTAAATATCATTCCAGGGCAGGCTAACCGAGGCTAACCAATGAGCACCTGCATGTGTTTGGCCTTGACACAATTTCAGCCCAGATTTACAAACTCCTGGCAGGACAAGCTCGAGCTCAATTCTCGCACTGAATTTAAAAAAAAGTGAGTGAGGGACTGCAATATAAGAGGGAAAGAAAGATACACTTTAAAACTGTTCTATTGTTATGATGTGTAAAGACTGATATTGTTCTATAATCGTCTGAAACTATTAAGTCATGATGTGAAACGGTTAACAAAGAAAAAGGGAAACTCAAGCTGCTGCTATACTTTATTTTATTTATCTAAAATTAAGCATTTTTGAGATGCACATATTTTATTTATTTTCTCTATTTTATTTTTAAATGCAGCCCGAGAGGAACATTACACATATCCACAGTATTTACTGTATAATTCAATGTTAATTGACAATAAATATTGTTGTTTTTGAATTGTACTTTCTTTATTTGATTGGCAGTCAGTTGTTGATTACATGCAGACGTTGATAAAGCTACAGGCTACTTCAATATATGTCACACTAATTCATAAAGCAAGTTAGACATTTTGACGTTCCGGACCTTTGCATGGGGAGATTTTCTCTAACTGGACCTCGTTGAATTTTTGTTGAATACCCCTGCCCTAAGGCATATGTACACCTACTGTTTGTAGATTTCAGCTCGGCTTTTAACACACTGCAGCCTCACATCTTCCTTCAAAAACTGATAAAGATGATTTTAACCATCTAGTGCTGAATGTGAAGAAGACTGAGGAGATGGTGTGGGGCCCAAAGGCAGTGGGTAACCTTAGGCCGGTGGTTATCCACAATGAACCCATAACTCAGGTCAGCTCCTATAAGTACCTTGGTGTCCATCTAGATAATACACTCAGCTGGAAGGCGCATGTTCAAGGTCTGTGCTCTAGACTTCAACAGTGATTGTACTTTCTGCGTCGACTCCGGGCTTTCGGAGTCGACCAGCAGTTCATGTTACTGTTCTATCATGCAGTGTTGGAGAGCATCATTAGGTATGGTATCACTGCCTGGTATGGTAACTTGACAGTGCAGTCAAAGTCACAGATCGCCCGCCTGGTACAGACTGCTATGAAAATTATGGGGGTTAAAAAACACCTATCTCTCCAAAACATATACGAGCAGTCCATTATCAGACAGGCAAAAAAAATGGTGTCTGATCCCACCCACATACTCCACCCAGAATTCCAGCTCCTACCTTCTGGTAGAAGATTCAGGGTTCCCAAGAGCAGGCTGAACCGCTATAAGCACTCATTCCTACCTATGTCGATTAAGCTTCTTAACATTCACATGAAATGAAATGTAGTCAAATGTAATGAAATTAACTTTTTAAATGTTGGCCATGAGGGTAGTGCAATAGGTCGCCATTGTCAGTATGTGCGTCTGTGTATTGTGTTAGTTCAAACGGTGTATGACTGATGATATGTGTGTCTCTTAATGTCCACTATGTTTGTATATGTACATGTATGCGGAACTGCAGGACGGAGTCCAGAACAAATTTCCTTACGGGGACAATAAAGTATATCGTATCGTATCACATTTTCACATATCATGTCACATAAGAAAGCAGTAAAAAATGTCGGCAAAGACACAAGATTAGGAGGCCTACTTTAGGGAGAAAGTGGATTACCACATTACAATTTAAACACCATAATAAGAAACACATTTTCATAAAATGAAGTGTGATTAAAACCAGCAGGACCCAGGTTCATGAATTAAAAGATGCCACATAGGACAGGCCGCAAGTATTTAAAACTACTTCTCTCTGCAGGTGGTTTTGAGGAATCCAGTGAAGGAGGAATAAAAAGGATAAAATAATTTAAAATGCAATACATAAAGAAAATATATATTGGTAAAGATTAATAAAATAATTATGAACTGTGTCAAAGGTTGAATACCTAAGCAAATTATTCCCTAACAGTCCCGAAAAATATTGTTTTTATTAACCTCTGTATTTCACAGTAAGTACAGGTAAGTATGATCACATTGCTGTGTGATCCCATATACTTTACATTTTTATGTGGTAATCCACTTCCTCCCTAAAGTAGGCCTCCTAATCTTGTGTCTTTGCCGACATTTTTTACTGCTTTCTTATGTGACATGATATGTGAAAATGTGATCTTGTTGGCTTTGAATTATAAATTAATGTTTGTTAATATTATGAATGAGTTATCTTTAATAGTTTGTGAGCTTTAAGATAATACTGTATGATTCATAAAAAAAAGTCCTAACTATATAATTGATAATTGAAATTAAAGGTGGGGTAGGTAATTTTGGAGAAACCAGCTTGAGTGCGCTAGAATTTGAAAATACACAGCCGGAAAAAATCTGCCACTTCCTTACAGAGCCCCTCCTCCAACACACACGAACGCGCTCATGACCAATGAGGGCACGAGATAAATGTGTGCACAGATGAAAGGCTGACAGGCAGGTAGGCCATCCAGTTATTTTAGCCGGGCCGGCTAAAATGATTGGTCGTGCTTTTTACAGTACTACGGCTTCCACAGATGAATGTTTGTATGGATTTTTTGTCAAAGCACTTAAGATATTCATTGCTATCGGGATGTTAAGAGCATTCCATGGAATATAACAAAAAATGTATCTCGAGCCGGTTTCTCAAACTTACCTACCCCACCTTTAAGTCCAAAATTATGATCTAATTTTTATTTGTAATATTGCCAAATACATGATGCCTAAATAGACATAAGGGCTGACTTTATTTAAGGGATCACAAAGATGATTGATGCATGAGCACCAAATGGTTAATAAAGGTGATTTCACATAGGCCATTAATCATATGTTATTTATCAGTGTAAACGACGGAACAGATCACCACTTTATTTGAAGGGGCACAATCATGATGAAGTAATGACAAAATAATGCTTAGTTAATCATGATTACAACACTTGGAATTGCTGTTGGAAACTGGTCAGTTTTTTGCCCTGTCACTTTAACTGCAGATCTATATGAAGAACACATGAACATCATTAATAACTCAGAAGTCATGATGATTGAGATACCTTAGTTGATGCATTAATTAAGGTATTGTTCCGGCATTGGTCAGCTGCAGCTCACAGAATCATATATATACTTTATATAGATATGGCCCTACAATATATTGTTCAAATATAGCATGATAGGTCCACTTTAAGTAATACAAGACAGAATGATGATGATGATCTCCGCGCTACAGCTGCTCCGTGCATGCATGCAGGTGACATGTAATATCCAAGGATTAGAGACGGTTGGATGCTGCTGTTTTGAGCATTGCAATATATTTATTTTCATTATGTTATTTATTTATGATTATCCTTAGGCTCAGCAAAGATTTGATGTCAGCTGTTGCTGTCTTTTTTTCTATAGCTAATAGTTACTGAAATAGAGCCCTGCTGTTTTGTCAGGGCCTTTTCTTTAAATATAATTTAAAAATGTCGATACAGTAGCCCCTTTTTTTAAATAGTTTTTATAGGTGTTGCTATCTGTTTTGTGTAGCGTGGTTCGACAAGCAAGTCAGTGCATTCATTGGCTGGTATCAGAGAGTTACACGTGTCTGTAAATGCAATGAAAACATTTGGCCACAGCAAATCATTTATATTAAACATGTCATTTTTACTTTTGAATACTTCAGTACAAAGGATGTATTGAATAATTTAAGTGATATATGTGTACACATATAAATCATTAGTCAAAACAGGGCTACATTTGATTTAATTAAAAGGTATAATATGTGGTAAACTGAAGAGCCGTTTGGGAGCCGAAAGAGCCGGCTCTTCTTGGTGAGCCGAGCCAAATGATCCGGCTCACCAAGAAGAGCCGGAATTCCCATCACTAGTGTGTACCTACAGTATGAGTGAATTTCCACATTAACTTATATTATGTAGCTTTAAGTGACAAAAAACAAGTTCTGGTATGAGTTATGGGCCTTTGTGGAATATTCTGCTCATGCACAAGAAATGGCAAAAAAATGTTTAACTGAAAAATATAATAATATAATAACATAACAACAAAGTGAATGTGAGAGGCTTAAGAGACGGGTAGGCCACCTTGCTGTTTTGCGCTTTTTTATTATTACATCCACATCCGCATCCGCAGTTTACTGAAAACATTCAGTCTTCTCAAGTGATCAAAAACCGTGTGACATTTTGTTCAGCTTATTCTCTCTTGTTGTGGGTGTGCACCTACTGTGTGAATGTGTGTCCTGGAAGTGGGTGATACATGCCTTCTGTTGCTCTCCTCCTCTATCTGTTGACAAGTTCTCTTAACTGTGTTGTATTTCCAGCGTGGGTATTAAAAAATAGAGTCATTTGGCGAGCTCTCTGAAATCTCCTCAGACTGAGTTGGAGGCTGACAATGACAGGATGCCATCTTCTGTTTGTGTGGGATAGTTCCTCTTTAAAACAAACACACAGGATGATGTTGTCCTGTGCTCCTGAATTAGTTTTCCACACTTATTCAGTATTCTCTTTCTCTTTTTCACTCAGTGTTTGTTCTAATTCACCCCGCAGGGTTTCTGAGCACAGGGGACCAGTCTGCTAAGGGGAACTATGGCTTGTTGGACCAGATCCAGGCCCTGCGCTGGCTCAATGAAAACATTGGCCACTTCGGAGGGGACCCAGAGAGAATCACCATCTTTGGCTCGGGAGCCGGGGCCGCCTGTGTGAACCTCCTCATCCTCTCCCACCACTCCGAAGGTAAGGCTCTTTTTTCTCTGTCATTGTCACATTAGCAGTCATATACCCTGCTAGAAAAGGGATTAACATTTCAGAGCAGTGTGGGTAGTGTATTTCTTCAAGGAGCTTGTTAGTAATTGTAATGAATACCCTATAATACATATATATATATATATATATATATATATATATGTGTTATTCCCCAAAGTGAAGGGATGCAATCTTCAGAGATAAGGCGCACACTATATGCAATGATATTTTTTTCAATAAACATGCAGAATTGCACACATTGAGTCATTTTAAAGCAAATCAGATTGCCAATCTGGACCGCGATGGCAGATGGAGGAAAACAGTAGGATATTTGCCATAAATCATTACTCACCTAGGGATACAAGCCCTGTAATAATCCCAAACAACGTCATTCCACGAGGCTCTAGAATCTCTGTGTACTGTCCGCCTCCATTCAAACTAATCCTGTCTAGCTAAGGCATAAGAAGTCCATACGTATATATATTACTTACTTTTATATCATTTACTTGGACTTTCAATGACGACCATTATAACCACTTTCCATATGTATTATTTATTAGATATATAGTCAGCATAATATTTTGCATCATTAGTGAATTGTATATCTTTACATGGCTTGAACTGCTGACCAACCTTATTTCTTGTCTTTTCCAGCATTTTAAATGTAGACTGGCACGAGAGAGCAGACACCTCTAACAGGCAATGGTGCATTTTCATGCTCATATTTTATGTATACATTTTTTTACAGTAAAAAAAGGAAAGGTCCTCAAGCCTCTAACCTGGAAACCATTGCAGTACTTATTACGGACCCTACTATACTTTTGGCTGATCTTTGTAGGACCCACCAAATGTTTGATCCTTAATTCTCTGAAGGTGAACGGCACTTTATACTTTACCTAATACTCAGAGTATGTTATTGGTGAACTGCTCACCTTCCATCTGAGAAACTGACCTTAAACAGATACAAGAAAAAACCATTTTTAATTGGATTCTCAACGTGTGCATGGTAAGTGTGTGCACGTGAATGCAAATATTTCCGTCTATCTGAAGTTTGAAAACATTAAGGAGGAAATAATCACTTTAAAATGCCTATATCTTGTTTTAATACTAAATATGTATTTATGTATTTAATATGCATAAGAATTTGCTAGGTTTTGCTTCTTTTGTTTATCATGGAAAATGTGTTTTGCTCATGTGAGCTTGGAATGGGGAATTGCCTTTTGTCTTTGTTTGTTAAGGTAATTAGTTATTATATAACTAGTTATAGTTAACTTTATATTCTTAAACACACTTTATTCTGGTTTCATTTCATAATTCATAACACACAACCTTCAGTAGCACAGAGAAAGTGAAAACAGCACGTCTGTGTACTGAAACAAGAATCTGTTTTTAATCTAATCACGGGAACCCTCCAGATTTACAGTCCTAATGTGAAAACTTCGTGTCATATCGAAATGTGAAGCTTGTATATCCTCGTTATCATCATGGGTTGTTATGCATAGATATGTCTTCCACTCCATTTTGAAGAACGATTGTGACGATTTTTTAAAGACGCTGTGTTTGTGTGTGTGCAGAGGAGAGATGAGATGAGGGGTAGAACTGGAGCTGCAGCTGAGAGGCTTCTTAATTGATTTCACAGGGAGAGGAGCGGGGGTGGGGCACATGCGGAATATGGGGGGGCTTAATTATTAATGACAGAATCTGCAGATAAAACAGAGAGACAGAAAGCCACTTTACATAACAGTGCAGCGGTGCAACAGTGCGAGCAGTTTTCTTTCTCTCACTGTCTCTCTTTTGCGCTTTATGCAACACGCGGCCATCAAACCGCTGCTGTGTTCCGAGCGGCCTCCATCTTTCCTCCCGCTGTCTCTCGCTGTCTCTCGCTGTATGTAATGGAAGCGCTCCGTTGTCCTAATGCTCGCAAAGATTTTCCATGGCTATAAAAAGCAACCAAACATCTTCTTCATCTTGCCTCCTATATAATACTCTACAAATGCTCCTCCTTCCACATATGCATTATTAAAATCACTCACACTGGAAGGCCTTAAAGGCCCCATCAGCTGCTAGCAGAAGTATGTCAGAGGGGAAAACTTAACCGAGAGAGGGGAAGTGATTGTATGTTTGCTATTGAGGCTATTTGTGTGTGTAGGCCTGTTCCAGAGGGCCATCGCTCAGAGTGGCTCGGCCATCTCCAGCTGGGCGGTCAACTACCGACCCATGATGTACACCAAGATCCTGGCCAAGAAGGTGGGCTGCACCCTGGGGGACATGGCTGAGCTGGTGGACTGCCTTAGGAAGAAGAGTTTCCGGGAGCTGGTGGACCAAGACATCCAGCCGGCCCGCTACCACATCGCCTTCGGACCCGTGGTGGACGGGGACGTGGTGCCCGATGACCCTGAGATCCTCATGCAGCAGGTCAGGGGTCATTGCACTGTCCGTCGGGATAACTACAATAAACAATATTAATGTCATTTTAAGACCAATGTATGCCACTGATACAAGTATAATATATTCATAATGCAGGTACCGGTACACCCTTTTTAAAGAGCAATGTACTTCTGATTCTTGAAATGTTCAGACATTGGAATTGGAAAACGAAAATAAGATATATTCAAATAATTGTAATATATAAAGAACCATGCAACCAAAACAATAAATGAAATGGAATTTTGGGCTCTGTGCAAAGTCCAAGTATTATCAAGTAAGGGAACACCCAGCAGTTTATTTTAGTATCATATTTGCAAAATGTTGTTAATCGTTAATTAATTATTTGTTTGGTCTAAAAATGAAAAATATCCGTCCCAGTTTGTTAACGTCCTAAGGAGACGTCTTTAAATGGCTTGTTTTGTCAGTCCAAACTCCAAAAATATAAAGTTGAATTTTATATAAAAAGCTGAAAAAATGCATATTTGTTCATGTAAAAGTGACATGGAGTGAATAATCGATAATTCAAATAGTTGGAATAGTTTTTTGCTAAACAAACATGCATGGAAACACAACAGGCAATCTCAAGGTCACCAAAATGGATTGAGATCAAGAACATATATTGAACAAAGCGATCAGGTTCATGTCAATGAATATGTATTTATATTGCACAATAAGTCAATGACATACAAATGATTAAGCATATCGTACAAGAGGCTAAACATTTCCATTTATCTTACGGTAAGACAACAATGCAAAAATGATCGAGGTCTTGTCCACATATCTGTCCACAGATCACAGATACGGTGACTCAATGACATAGTTATCGTGTTGTTGTCCTAGCAGTCCTTTGTTTTGTTTTTGTTGTGACACCAGGGCGAGTTCCTTAATTACGACATATTGCTGGGTGTCAACCAAGGAGAGGGACTGAAATTCGTGGACGACAGTGAAGGAGAAGACGGAATATCATCAGCTACGTTTGACTACACCATCTCCAACTTTGTGGACAATCTGTATGGATTCCCTGACGGTCAGAGAGCCTTCGCTGCTATTTTACCTTAAACATGTTATTACTTTAATATTCAAATCTTGCACATGTTGTTAGCCTCTAGCAAGGAGAAGTACTTCAAACTACAATGAAAAAGACAGAGCTACATTTATTTTCCTGCTCTATGACAGGAAGTTGAAGGCACCACCGTGGAGATGACATAGATTTACAATAAAATTACTTATATTAAGTTATATTTAACCCTTTAATCCTGTCACCTAATGTTGCACTGCGTACATACTCACGTACCATTTTCATTTTTTCCAAGGTAAAGACATCCTCAGGGAAACCATAAAGTTCATGTACACAGACTGGGCTGACCGGGACAACACTGACATGCGCAGGAAGACCCTCCTGGCTCTGTTCACAGACCACCAGTGGGTGGCCCCGGCCGTCGCCACTGCCAAGCTGCACGCCGAGTTCCAGTCGCCCGTCTATTTCTACACCTTCCACCACCACTGTCAGACGGAGGCCCGGCCGGAGTGGGCCGACGCTGCTCACGGAGATGAGATCCCCTATGTGTTTGGGATCCCCATGGTGGGAGCCACTGACCTGTTCCCCTGCAACTTCTCCAAGAACGATGTCATGCTCAGTGCTGTAGTCATGACCTACTGGACCAACTTCGCCAAGACAGGGTTAGTATGGTGCCAAACTAAAAAAATACTTTCTGATATTAAGTGCATTTAGTACTGCACAGTGTGTACTGTACTAACAAGCTCACATGCTTCAGGATACTCAAGTCTAATGTCTCCTTAGCCAAGTTCCCAACTGTGGGCACATGTTTAGGCTGCTAAAGGGGAATATCAAGTTGGTGTTGGGTTTTGATTTGGAGATATTCTCAATGATGTGATTATCTGTTGAGCTTTTGAAAATATTGCAGTTTAAAACATTTGGGTTGGGAGTGATATGACATGCAACACCTGTATGGAGCTCATTTCCTTCCTAATTTAAAGGGGCCCTGTTTTGCTTTTAGGGGTTTTCCCTTTCCTGTAGTGTGATATAGAGATTTTGTGAATGGTCTACAAAGGCTCAAGTTTCTCTCCCACACTCTCCCCCCCCCTCCCCGCCAGAAACACCTCCATTAGACTCCCTAGTTTACTTCCGTAACATAATGACATAACTATGTAACACTCACTCTTCTATTGGCAAGTGCTCCAACACATTGTTTGTAATAGGCTAAGGGGCGGGACATCTTTAGGCGGCTGACCAATAACAACATAGCCGGCCAGATAACCAATCAGAGCAGACTGGGCTCTAGTTTCAGACAGAGGGTGAAAATAGGTGCTGCAGCACAGGCAGTATGAGAAAAATAAAGCATGTAACAATGTCACAGTTGGGGCACAAAATACAAATATGAACCTGATAATTTCCATAATATGTCCTATTTAACAAATAAACATGATGCAGTAGAACTGTGTTGGGTATTTGTTTGATATGTCGTTTTTTTATTTGGTAATGGACTTTTGTATTGGCAAACCACACTAGGTTTGTTAGTGAAAATTAGGCCATACATTGAAGTTTTGGCAGCATTAGCTCCATACAACTGCTGTTTCTTTCTGCCAAATTCCAAGGGTGGTGCTCTGATAGCACATAATCTCTTGGTTTCAGTCTATTCTGTTGCTGAATTAGCAACAGGTGTAAAAATAAATGGCCGGCTTTTCATGCCTAAACTGTTGAACGAAGACTTGTTTTTTTGTTACATTCATATACATTTGATCTTGATAGTTTTTTACATTGCAGTAATGCAAGTTCCCTTTTATCGCTACATGAGATCCCTACGCTCTGAGGTCATCATCTATTGGCGCGTTTCCACTGCAGCGGGTAGCCCCGTTTAAGCGTCCTTAACCGTCCTCAAGCGGCCAGGCCGGTTTTTGGTGGCGTTTCCATATAGCCTATACCGGCTAGCGGGTACTTTTCCCCTCTTTTTCCGGCCTCATAAAATCGTGGTTCTATCAGACCAGGGCCAGGGCTGAACTAGTGACGTCAACACTCTCGATTGCTGATTGGTCAGAGAGAATCGTCACAAGATTGCGCACGAGTTCATCCCTAGCGTCGCATATATATCTAGAAGCAAGCTTGCAGCATTTTTTTACACAGCATTTTGTAAACGGAGGAGCTACAAAAATGGCTACTTCTAAGAAAAGCACACCGTGGTCGACCGAGGAGGTGACGACGTTCCTACATCTCATTGGGGATGATCAAATCCAGTGGGAGCTCGACGGAACAACTCGAAATGTGAACAAAAACAAAGCCGATCGCCCCGCCTACACTGCGTTGCTACCCCAGGTCCTAAACTGTAATGGAAATGCGCCACGGCCTGGGCCGGCCAGCGAGGCAGTCCGAGGCCAGAGCGAGGACGCTTAGGGACGCTTAAACGGGGCTACCCCGCTGCAGTGGAAACGCGCCATATGTGAGCTGCCTGCATCTCCCTATAGGCCTACTTGCAATTTAAATTACGTACACAGGCTCTCTTTTCCAATCATAGGCCTATATAAGTATACTTATGTAGACACTAGGGATGACTTGATTTGGTGTATGATATTTGCCTTTTGGATTGCCTTTGACCTACAGAGACCTGCAATCGATCAGAAAATAAGACCCCATTGGCAAATGGCAGTGGCCGATGTTTATCTGTTGTGAAACATCACTCTTGCACCGGGTAAAGCTTGTTTCAGTTAGTTCGCTTTTACTCAGTTAGTTTCCAGCTGCAGAATCTTAGAAGAAGCTACTGACTGGACCCGACTGACACAGAAGTGCTAAAGGCGCTGGCGTGTTTCAGACAAGCGGTTTGTTTACAAATACAACCCCACTCGGATATTGAACAAATAATCACCTCCCTCCTAGATGCAGTGCTTATTCACAGACAAACTGAAACCAACAATGTACATTTTATTACTACTTGACAAGTTTACTGTTAATGTCTCTCCTGCTCTGCTCTGAGGGCGCCACATCCACCTCTCTTTTTATTTACCACACACTTGCCAAGCACAGAGCTGTTCTCCAAAGGCGCTTTGCTAGTCTTACATGAGGATAGCCAGGACTTCCTGTAATTGGCCGGAAAGTACAAACCATCCAAAAGATGGAACCATGGTTACTCTTTTTGTTTGACTATGGTCCTGGGAGGTTTTACACCTGTAGTTTTGGTTTGGATCAAGGCGAAAGGGCTGAAAGCCCGGACCAAGTGAGGTAGGCGAGGTAGTGTGAAAAAAGTCCTAGTGAGGATGAATTCTTAGCATAAGAACTATTTTGATTCTGCTATTTCTTTCCTCCAGGGATCCCAACCTACCAGTTCCTCAGGACACCACGTTCATCCACACCAAGCCCAACCGCTTCGAAGAAGTCATCTGGACCAAGTTCAGCTCCAAAGACAAGCAGTACTTACATATCGGACTGAAGCCTCGCGTCAGAGACAACTACCGGGCCAACAAGGTGGCCTTCTGGCTGGAGCTGGTGCCCCATCTGCACAGCCTCCACAAGGAGGTCATCGGCCCCATCACAACCCGCCTGCCGCCCGGAGGCAACAAAGGCTGGAAGGGCCCCAAAAGCCCCGGTACCGGCACCAAGCACCCCTCAACCGGCATCTCCACCTACCCGCCCGACCCTGAGCCCGACGGCTCGGAGAGACCCCGCTTCTCCCCCTTCCCTGACGAGACGAGGGACTACTCCACGGAGCTGAGCGTGACGGTGGCTGTGGGCGCCTCGCTCCTCTTCCTCAACGTGCTGGCCTTCGCCGCGCTCTACTACAAACGGGATAAGCGCCACGAACTCATGCAGAGACGCCACCGCCGACTGTCCCCGCAGCGCGTCACCACCATGGGCATGGGCATGGGCGTCGGCATGGGAGTGGTCGGGGCCCCACCGCACAACGACCTGGCGCTGAGTCAGGAGGAGGAGCTGATGTCGCTGCAGATGAAGCAGCAGAGGGTGGAGCTGGAGCACGGCACGCCCCTCCCGTCCCGCGGCATCCACGGCGACCTGGAACCCCTGCGGCCCCCCGTGTGCCCCCCCGACTACACGCTGGCCCTGCGGCGGGCCCCGGAGGACGTGCCACTGATGACAGCCAACACCCTCACCATGATCCCCAGCACCATCAGCAGCATGCAGCCCCTCCACCCCTTCAACACTTACCCCCCTGTGCCGGCCCCCTCCACCACACCCGTCCCCAGCCACAGCAACAATGCCCTGCCACACCAACACTCCACCACCCGTGTATAGGACCAGGCACAACCTCTGCTACCCCACTCTGGGCGTACAGAGAAACACCACACAAACTGCTCCATACAATCTCCACCCTCACCATTCTCCTTGTCTTTGTCTTTTCTCATTAAGCCCTCAAATAAAGCTGCAGTTTGTAAGATTTTAGGCAGCGAAATACCTCTAAAATGTTATCATAAATCAAAGGTGGGGGGTTGATGAAACACACTCCTCTGCCAGACGCCTGTCATCGTAGGTACACACTGCTTCCTCGTGTTGAAGCTCCTTCAGTATCTCGTGCTTAGGTGAGCCACAGCTTTAAGCTCTCCTTCTCTCTAAGAGGTATTGAGCTCGTGAATCAGACATCTTACGTGTAGCTCTGTTGTTTTTTGCGCATGTGTTGTTGTGTCAGTGCAAAACTATGTTTGACATAGAACGCTCACTTCCGTTCATTTAGCGAAAAGATAATACAGTAGCATGCAGCAGCGAGCGAGGCAGCATATGCCCAACAAGCTGTCTGTCATAAAGCGGTGATTTCTTGAAACTTACAAATTGCAGCTTTAAAGGCCCAATCTGGAAGTGGAATTTGGCACCCTGTGTTGAGCACTATGTCCCAACAGCTGTCTCTTTGTTCTGATTTTGGAGACTTTTGTTAAAATTGTATTTGCCGCGCTGGGAGTAAAAGGATGAACTCTTTGACATTTTAAGCATGAGTTTTCCCTTGATTTCTAAACTTCTGTTATCAAATGTATCTACCTGTTTTCAGTTAGAATGCGGCCGTATTGCCGTCAGAAATATTGTTTTATTTTGATAATCTGTATACTCTCAAATGCTGCTTTCAGAACATTTCCAGATTGGGGCTTCAACTGTTGGGCGGTACAGGAAATAACTGAATCACACTCAGTCTGTGGGACGCAACCTGGAATCCAGGCTGCCCATTAGAACTCGCTGCATCTCCGCCACACAGGCTCTAATCATGTCCATTACTTTATTTGTTTCTCTCTCATTATCTCTCTGTCTGTATCTCCATCTCAGCCCATTAAACCACTTCTCTGTTTTCCGCTGGCTCAAACTCTTCCTCTCTCTGCATCTGCCCTCGTAGCTCTTTTTATTAATCCATCCACATAATCCATTTCCACGTCCACTTCTCTCCTCGTTCCTCGCAATCACTTCTAGACTCTGTTTTCCTTTTGGAGTCTTTTATACAAAAACACAAATGTAAATGATGTATTATTAATAAATTGTAAGGATATGAATGAAAAAAAAAGATATTCTGATATCTCGTTTTTACCAGCATTCTTGGTGCCAAGTACTGTGATAAAGTTCCTCTTTCACTGGCGTCCAGTGGAGCGCCTGGAGAGGTCCATCCTGACTGTATCTTACAAAAGGAATTACCATCATAAAAAGTGCCAACCCCTTCATGTTTCTGTTTGATCCACACACTTTTTTTATTATTATTATTATTACACTCAATGTTGCACTGTGGCTGGTCCCTTCTTCTTTAAAGGGAAATCAGATTCAATATATCCTTGTTTGAAAAAAAAAAGTATATAAAGTTTTATTAGCTACTTTGCTGTCTGGGATATTTGCATGATGTTTTTTCTTTTCTAAGGAGTGTGGACAGAGATATTTGTTTTCCATTTGAATGATTTGCCTTGTTTTTCATTGAGTTTTTTATTTTCTTTTAATCATTTACATTTTCTATTTTAATATCAGCTGCACTTTGTGGTACTTCTAAAGGGTATTAAAGTATTAAGAGATGAATATTGTGTAAAACTATGATTATATGATATGATTATAACAGATAGTAAATATGTCCTCTTTATTTTGTTCATGTCCTGACACTGAGACTGTGCTGCAAAACTACCAGAAAGACTCTTCTCCCTCTCTTGCTCTGTTTCTCTGTATCTTTTGCAACTGTCAACTTCGCAGTCACTGTCTCTCAATCTCACCTGAAGATAGCACTTTTTAAGTTACAAAAGAAAAAAAAACTCCGTTACATGAATAGTCTAAATAAGGTTTTTGTCTATGACTGACATTAACCGAATTCTTCAAAGACTGCCTGACAGTTATCTTTTCGTCTTTTGTTGTTTCATGATTCTCCCTTCTGTGGGGTGGGAGATATATTTATGACGGTCCAAAGGTGAGAAAGCCTTGTACGCGCGTTTCACATATTTTCGCACAACGAGAGACAGGTCGCACTCTGGACAATTCTGAGGGGAAAAAATCCCAGTGACATTAGGACAACACTGGACAAATGCCGGCAGTGATCAATGATATCATCTGTCGATGCACTGAGGATGTGTTCTAAAAAAACCTGATTTAAATCTTTATTGACAGACATTACTCATACACCATATATCACGAAAGCAAGGCGAGCGGGATGAATTCCCGCCCGCTCCTTGTTCTGTATCCGGTCTGCTCAGGTCAACAACACTCTGGAGCCAGACTGCCATCCCTCACACTGGACTGGAGCGAGCTGCGAGGACAAAAAGAACAAAAACCAACACATGAAACAAAACTGTACATTTTTTAAGTGTAAGAGAACAAACTGGAATTTGTAAATATTATGTTTGTCGTTTGGTTTGAGTGATTGGCCGGATCTTTTCTTTGTGACAACAGGTGCAAGTTTAGGTGACATGATTTTAGCACTCATGCGTATGTTTGATTCTCCTTTCTTTCCTAGATCTCAATGGCAAATTCCAATAGTTTGTGGGCACAGGAATCTGTTAACATATGTTAATAATGAAAAAAATAAATCACAGCATGGTTGAGGACAACAAATACTCAAAAAAAGGAATGCTTACAGCTCAGGTTAGCCTAGATTTTGTGGTGATACAAATGCTCTTACTGGATAATATGCCTGTCTAAAGCATATCACACACATGGCACTATCCCATCAATCATTGAGGCAGCGTTTGAGTCCTTTCATTGGTTGAAAAGCCAAAGAACAGCTGCAGGGAATCGACACAAGACGGAGACATTGGGATGTTTTGAGGAATGAAACATGAAAATGGGCGCACGTTTTCATGTGTGCTCAAAACAAACTACACATCGAGAATTTTACTTGTGATGCTGTTGGATTTAATTGTTAATGTCTCACATTGTCTTGAGCATTGTCATAATTGGGAGGTTTTGGAATCCTTTGTACTCTTTTGGTCTTATTTCTGACTCTAATCATGGTGGTTGTTTTTGCTACCTTTTGCAAGTTTCTCTGCACATTCTGTTTATGGGATTATTGAACCTTTTTGATGTTAGTCCAAAAGCAGCGTTATAAAAACAACATTTCCTTTTCTAAACAAGCGTTTGGACAGCCAACAGATGACGGAAGCACACTCATCAAGTTTACATGTTTACACTACAGTTTTGATGTTGGCTTAAGGTAAGGAAAAAATATATATATATTTAAAAAAAAACATTTCAAGGATCCAAATATCTTCTTATTACATTTATTGCTGAAATGGTAAAGTGAAGGCTTGCACCTGTTTGTCTGTTTCATTTAGTCCAATTCAGTAAACTGCTTGAGCTCAAGATACTGTGAGAGAGCATAATGACCAGAAGGAGTTGAAAGAATTAAAGTTAATATTTCTATTTCAAATAGAGGCTATTACACACTGTATGTTGTGTATCTGAACTGGAAAACATTAAAAGACATTCTTAAACAAATGCTTTCAACCGTTTGTGTCACAATGTGAGCGATGCAAAAATGAAAACTGCATTTTAAAGCCATGTCGGTGGAAGTACCCCACTATACTGTTGCGCTTTTTGTTGGTTGGTTGGATGGATGGTTGGTTGGTTCGTTCGTTCATTGGTTGGTTGGATGGATGGGTAGTTGGGTGATTGGTCGTGGGTGATTGGTCGGTGGGTGGTTGCTCACATTACTTTATTCAATAAGACTTCAAACTAGCAATTGAGGACACAAATGTATTAAGGAAAATGTTTACTGAGGTAATAAACCAAGTGAGAAGTGGGGTCCTCTTTTCATAAACTTCTATACAATGGTTATTCATTTGACTACCAGTGGAGTTGCAAATGCACTTTTGTCTTGGTTATAACAATTGAAGTAATCCCCCTATAATATATATTTTTTTATGTGAAATCAATTTGTCAATGTGAGAAATGTCAGATTATAAGAATGTCTATAGTATAATGTTATTACGTAATACGTTTGTATGTTGTGAACATATATTGTTATAACATGAAAAACATTTAGTTACTGCTTTTCTTGTTATAATATAATACTAATCTGTGTTTCTTTTTCTAGTGTGGCAGGATTGATGTTGGTTCTTATTGTTTTAAGAGAGAAGATGGCCGCCTAGACGGAGAGAAAGAGGAACCATGGTGTTTGATTGATGTGGGTAAGATTTTAAATCGTCATAAACTGTTTATTTTTTCAGTTTGAAATGTTTTTGCTTACAGCTGGCATTCTAATGTATCCTCAAAATGTCCACAATCCCGTAATTCCATTGTACATAACCAAATATACGGAGTTCTGACTCTCATTCTGTGAGGTTTTAAAGTTATCCAGAGATTTGAATTCCAAAGCTAAAACTAACAGCACCAGTTTTATGAAGGGAACTGACCTCTGGTATGTATTTATTCAGCTTGTGTACACAATAAATCAATATTATGGCAACATACAGGAACTGACTGATGCACTGGGGCTTTTGGATGAAGCATCTGTGCTATTGCATGGATTTCCATTCGTTTAAGCCCCGATGTGGAAACAATTAAAACTTTTTTTGGCCACAGATACATTTAGTTCTGTGTTATTGCTGGTGAAAAAGCTCCACATTGCTCTTTTTACCTCTCAAATGTCACTCTCGTCAGTTGATATTTTCTTCCCAAATGAAGTATTCAGCATTATAATTATCACAGGTAGGCAACAGATAATTACCTTGGAAAAACAATAAAGATAGATCCCTTTAATAAGCAAGGTGGTGCAAGTTGTTTTTAATTAATCTAGAAGAATTCATTACAGAAGAGAACAAATGAAATATGTCCTTAGACCAGTTAATAATGCAACTTTCTGCAGTTTTTAATTGTTTTTCATATCTTATTCATTTATTTTGGTTTAAAGTATCTGCCCTGAAATATTGCTGTAATAACAAACAAGTTATTAAACTTTGCACTGTCTAATAACTCTTATGGTTGACATGCACTCTATCTATCAGCATTATTTGTGTTATAACAGCAGAATCATCATATACAGATTGCACAATCGTTTAGATGACTGATAGTATTTCTCTTTTGCGCTCAACCTGATTACCTTTACAGACAATAATACTCAGCTGGTTTTTCTGGGAGAAGTGATATCAGGAAATTATTTTTTCTTTGTCACTAGATGGCAGTGAAGGCCATAATATGTAAGAAAGGTCTGCTGCATCAGAAAATGACTGCTTCCGACTGAAAAAAAAACAGAAAGCATCTTCCTCTTTAGAATTTCAAAAATAAATGTAATTTTCAGCATCACATAAAACCATATACCTCAAACCAAAAATAAGAAAAGTCTCCATGACATAATATTCACAGAGGTTATCTTTGACCAATTTAATGTTTTAATATATTATCCTCACTCTTTTGTTTCTAAAAATAGCATTAAGGTGGTACATTTTTAACGGTTCCTAAATCCTGTTGGTTTTCTAAAACTTCAGTAACCCTGCAACAAGTTATACAACTGACCATGGAATATTTTATATGATATTCAAAATACTTTTACAAGTAGATCAACTCAATGACTAAACGCACTAAAACCCATCAGATAGCCATAGAGGTCCAATCCAATTTTCATAACTGACTAAACATTCAAACTCACATATGATGATAAGGAGCTTTTTCTAAGCTTACCACTGACATTTGACAAGAATGAAAAGCAATGACACAATCACAAATCGCGTGAATGAACTATACTTTATTAAAGGAGACAATTTGAATAGCTTTCCACACATTTTATTCCCTCTCCCAACAAAGCAGCTCTCCTGTAACATGCGTTGCTTTATCATTTGTTGGTCAAATAACAGATGATGAAAGGAAACAGTTATTCAAAAACGTTTTTCCCCAAAAGAATAACTAAGCTGCAAGAGGAATTTTGAATTAACTTTACTGTGAATTATGACAATTTTCTGCACACTGAAAAAACTGAAATGTTGACTTTATTCAAATTAATTATGTCAACAGATTTCACATAACTGTATTAGGTTAGTTGAAAGCAATAATATTAAGTTGAATCTATTTAGTATTAAAACTTAATATTATTGCTTTCAACTAACCTAAAACATTTATTTGAAATGTGTTGACGCACTACATTTAATTAAAGTCAGAGTTTGTGTTTTTTCTGTGTAATTGATCCAACCCAACCCATAGAGCTTTTAAATAGTGTGTTGCAGGTACAGAGGGAGGGGTGAAGGGGAGATGCAGTTGTCATAGAAGATCTGGAGGTTCTGGTCAACATCCAAATTACTTTTCAGGAAGTTCTCAAGTTCCATGAGCGGCATCTCGTGGACGCTGTTTCCGTCTTTGACATTCTTGGCCAGGACCCCGTAGGTGGGGAAGCGAATGCGGACATCACTCGGGGAGTTGCGGTCGTAGTCTGGGCAGCAGTAGGCGGACCACACATCTTCAGGGATGGCCACCCGGTCCTGGTTGTTCCTGCGGATCATGTTGCCCCTGGTGGTCACTCCGGTCACGATGTAGGCCACGCCGCGGCAGAAGTTGTTGAGGCGAAGTCTGATCCGCTCCTCGTACTGGCGCCATGGCCCGATGTTGAACTCTCGGATCTGCGGGACCACGTTGGTCAGAGTGTAGGTGGCGGCCCGGTCGTGTGGCGTGGACTGGTGCTGGTCCGGGTTCAGGTGACCCCTCTCGTACAGGACCACGTCAGAGTAGTCGTCCAGGACGGCCTGGCTGTCCTCGAACTTCATGTGCAGGTAGCCGGTGGGGAAGGGCTGCATGTTTCCATTCCCGTCAGTTTCTGCCAGCTGTGGAGACACACATGCTGGGAATGAGAGCCTACACTTAAATAGAACAAGTTAATTCCACTTCACATTTTTATGTTGGAACAACTTTACAAAATGAAGTAAATACAAAAACAGTTTAGATCAACTTAACCCGTTCTGAACAACTTGTGAGAGCCTTGTTTTGCACAAAATGTCTAACTTTAGGCCCTTTTCTTGCTGTAGAGGAAGACTATAAAGGTTTCTACTATGGCCGACAGGTGATTTTACGTAAACCTGGACTGATAACGATATTAAATTGTATGAGGAAATGATCTTAGATTTTTAAAAGTCAGATCAACTTAACACATTTTACAGTGTGCAAATCCATTATTGTTTATTCCCAATGAAAGCTTCACTTCAGTCAAAATAGTAAAACCAGAGTATAGAAATACATTTGTTACCATTCAAAATCCTTTTTTTTTGTAAAAAAAACAAATACAAAGGTATTAGCATTAAAATATACTTGAAGTAACAAGTCTACTTAGTTTGCACAACAGCCCATTTCAGAATAGTATTTATAATTTTATTGACTTACAATTATTGATGAAATAATTTGTTTGTCACTTTAATGTAGCAGCTGGTAAAGGATCATTCATACCGCAGGGTCGCTTGGATCAATATAGGATATATTATTTGTTGATTATATTGTGCATGCCTACAATTAAACTGAATCCAATTCATAATATTTTAAGAATTAAGTTGCAACTATAGGTCATCAACACTCACTTGACAAATATCATTTGTACTACTATATTAAAACCAACACTTGTAATTATAACTACGTTAATTTTCATAATATTCCACATTTTTCTTGAAAGTACATCTTTATTCTTGTAGTAGTAAACATAATTCTCATATTATCACAACTGATTTGTCTTTCTTTACTATGCCTGCACTTTGACTAAACTTAAACTATTACTCAAAGACAAGTCTCCCACCTGTGGCTCAAACATCCATGGGTAGTCCACGCGCCTGTCTCCCTCTGTTTTCTTGAACGTATAAGCTGAGTAAACGGGAATCCTCTTCTGGGGGTCGTACAGGGTCACATAGCGAGGTCTGTCGGAGTAACGTTGGCAGATCCTCTTCAGGTTGTTGTCGGTGAAGCCCCTCGGTGGGGTCCCCATGTACAGGGAATCCTTACATCTCTCAATGTGATTAAAATCTAGAACAACTGTTGCAGAAAGTAGAGGCAAAAAACAGCCTAGCAAAAATAGAATTGTCATGGTCAAAAACATCTCCTCAGTCAGTCCGGCTGGCAAGCAATGACAGAAAGGGTTTGCAGTTACCATTATTACAGTCCAGATATGCAAAGTAGAGTGTGACAAAAGAAAGGTCTCCTTTCATTTGTGGGCGTGGATGGGCTCTATCACACCATTCCAAAGAAGTTTGTTCCTATGACTATTTTTCTAAAGTGTATGTTCTTTAAGGATGTATTTCTCTTTTTGAAGTAAAGCTACTGTAACAAACCTACTGATGTTTATTTGACAAGTTTGACTGTGAGTTCTTAATGACGTTATGGTTTGCTCTTTGGGATAGAAGCTATTATATTTGATCAATGGTGCAATCCATGGTGAAGGCGACAAAATACAGGATTATCAACTACTTGCGGTCACATATTTACAATGTCAGTATTTCACAAATTCACCTTAGTGCCTCGAGAAATTAAAAACAAACATAGCTATTCTGAACAACTTGTGAAGGCCTTGTTTCACGTGTGGTCCGCTTACTGCTGCCCAAAATGTATATATTTTGGCCCTTTTATTTTTGATGTAGAGGACTATAGGGGTTTCCATTACAGAATATATAAGTATGTGAGTGTATTAGTCTTAGTCAGTTTAAACTGATGTTGAAAAATGGTTGAAAAAGAGACAATCAAGTTGTCATCAAGGTCTGAATATGTTGGGTTGTCCGGTACATTTATGAAGGTTTTGGGGAATGTGTTATATGTCCATAATACACATTTCCACGGACAACAGATGGAAATCCTCATTGAGCCTCTAGGCACTGGTGGAAGAAGTACTCAGAGCTTTGCTTAAGTATAAAAGTATACACCACAGTGTGAAATACAAGTAAACGCCCTGCATTAAAAATGTTACTTAAGTAAAATAACCAAATGATTACCTGCATCAAATACTTCAGTACTAAATCTAAAAGTACCCATTATCAAAATATCCATTTTCAGTATAATATATATTATATCTCTGGCGGCCCGGTCGTGTGGCGTGGACTGGTGCTGGTCCGGGTTCAGGTGATGCATTAATGTGTCTATCATTTAAATGTTTGCAGCTGGTAAAGGAGACTAAATCAGGTATCCCCATCCATAAAATTACATAATAATGCATTGATTACTTTTTCTATTATTAATATGTACCTGCAAAAGTAACTAATAATTAATGTTGTCAGATAATGGAGTAAAAAGTACAATATTTGCTGCCAAAATCTAGTAGAGTGCAAGAATAAAGTAGCATAAAATGGAAACACTCAAGTAAAGTATGTGTACCTCAAAAAGTACAATATAGTACTTGAGTAAATGCACTAAGTTACTTTCCACTACTGCTTATAGTCAATGTGGTGCAATGCATGTATTGTACAGTCATTGTTTAAATAGATACATCTTATTCTAGCTATAACTGCAGTGCACTCTTAAAGAGTGTGGAGGTGAAACACGGGACATAGACGTTTTACATTCAGACTCATGCTATCAGCGTAATATAAAATGCAAAAGTGTCTAATCTGTCTCCGTGAGGAACAAGAGGCCTACAGTGGCCAGTGCTCTTCAGAGGCACTATGCTTTTAATCGTGAATAGTAGAGATAAAGCATGAATGCATAACTACGACAAAGTGACCAGTTCAAAAGCAAGACTGATACATAAACCAGTTGTGAAGAAACTGAAGAAGCAGAATAAGAAATAGCCCCAACACTCTTGGACACACATTATGCAGATTCTTTATTTGTGCTCTTGTTATGATCAAACACATTTACTACCACTATTTGATGATTGTCAGTGCAATGCTGCATTGACTATCCCCTCACAGAAGAGTCACTGATTGACCATGTGTTGTGTCAGTGTTATGGATCTCATCACACACGTTCTGAAGAGGAATATTGTTTTGCGTTTCTATGTGTGTATTTTCTGTCTTCTTTGAGTCTGTAGTTGTATATGTCACTCTTTTTGTAGACTTTTTGTAGTTGTTTTTTCTCTTCCTGGTCATTTGTGTGTCTCTTTGTAGTCATGTTGTGTCTCTTTGTAGTCATGTTGTGTCTCTTTGTAGTTGCTTTGTGTCTCTGCAGTTCCTTCTAGTGTCTTTGCGATCATGTTGTGTCTCTTTATGGTGCTTTGTGCTCTTTTGGAGTATCTACCTGGTTGGCATGTGACTCTTTGATTAACATGTGGTGTGACGTCTAGCAGAGGACCCTGACACTGGTAGGTGTGTTCAGTATTCTATCCATGTTGGGGCACTTTGGGGGGAGGTGGAAATATTTGTGAGTAGCTTAAGTATTATTGAATACCTATACATCCTCAAGTGTTTAAAGATTATAGTTAGCAAGCAAGCTTAAAAGTAATGCTACAATGTTATAATAGTTTTAAGCAATTGATTAACTCAAAGTGGCAATATTCACTTTTATATCAATAGTAATATTTAACATCACGTTTTCAATTCAGTTTAAATTATCTTGAACAATGGTGTTGATAAAGGAGTGAGATAATGTTACAGTTCTGTGGAGGAGGTGTCCGTCAAAAAAGATAGGGAACCAGAGTTCTTTTCGTCTATGGTGTAAAGGAGTTGAAATGTGCTGTATATCAATGGCTGGAGTGTCTGCTGCTGTGCTACGCTGCCTCTTCTCATGCAGTCTTATGCAAATGTTAAGTGATAGTCAGATAAGCTGGAGCAACAATCCCTCACTGCCCTAATAAGTCAATTTGAGTGACCGACTGTGGTTATTCATCGAGGGACCAGCTTGCCTCTCTGATCTAATCCTGAGTTATGACAATCATAACTTATGTAGCTGGGGCTGATGATGCAGTTATGTGAACAGACATTTTTCTGCTGTCAGCATTTTTACCAATTAAAATGATATATTCTGACCAAGTACAGAACCAGCTCAGCTGCCCTCTGCTGTTTCATCTTCAGTGGAGGAAGCAGAGAATGTTACTACTGTCAAGTCTAATGTTATAGCACTTTGGTACAAAATGTAATTACTGGTCAAGTTGTCTTTAGATGGTCAAAATGAATGTGAGCTTTCAGGGCAGCACGAAAAAAAAATCATCTGGTCTGTTTCTTTATGACACACAATTTAAATAAACCCCTCAATGGTTCTGTGTATCAGGCAGGCATTTCAAATGAAATCAAACTATATAATAAATGCAGCATTATTATTAAATGTAATACATAGGCCTAATTTACAAAAATGTTGCCTATTATTTTTCACTGTAGGCCACAATTTCCCTGGCAGCTCTGTTCCAAAGCTAGTACATCATTGTGCAGTAATATATATTGCACACTAGGTGGCCGTTTAGGCTTGTTTTGAGCTTGTTCCCTTTACCTGCACCATGATGATCAGCTCTTGCAAGCTAAGGTAAAATGCCTAAAAACATTACAGATTCAAACATTAAAAAAATCTAAAAAGTGTGAGGTAGACTTTTATTATAAAATGTAGCCAAATGTTAAACAATATTGTATTTTAAAAAATGTTTCATAGGTAAATTCAATTATTTCGTTTGAAAAATTCTTACAGTTTTATGTTTCACTTGGGGCTACTCAAAATTAATCATTTTAATTAATTGCAATTCCGAAAAATCTTATTTTCTCATGATTTTCCTGAATGATTCCTGACTGATTCTCCTTCCTTAACTTTTTCCTCTTATTTTTCACATAGGATTTTGTGAAAGCGCTATCTTACCAGAATGTGACTTATTATCTAAACTAATGGTAAAATATCTTAACACATTTGTTATTTATTGTTCAATTACTGTGACATTAAACTGTCACTTTTAACTTGATCCATATTAGCAGGATATGTATAGTTGTGTTTTGTTTTTTTAACAGCATTTATGCTCCAGTTGAATAGAAGCACACATTAATAATAAAAAAATATATACATATCTTAACATTATTGAATATATTGAAATAAAATATACAACTATACAATTATTTATGCATACATGCAAAAATGCATAGCACTACTCATTAACACATTAACAAATACAGCTTTACTTAACGATGCATACATCGAAATAATCCACAACACAAACACACTAAAAAGAGAACAACCAAACGGATAAACCCCGAGATTATTCAGCTGTTCATTTCTGAAGCGTGAGTGACATTGTTAAAAATGTTGCTGTATAATAACTGTATCAGCAGATGACAGTTTTTGGCTTTATGAGGAACAGATCCTCATTGAGCCACTAGGGGGCTCTGTTTAGCAGATAATATATTCGCCTGTGAAGCTCTCCCTTCTTAAATTCTGCACCAAAGCCTTCTCATTGGTCCAAATACTCACATGGGGTCATACATTGGCCAATAGAATTTGGGCTGTTCAGGAGCTGTTGCTAAGGTATTTGAGAGGCAAAAAAATGAAGAAAAAAAAACCTGGCAGTGGGCTGGCTCCTTCCTTCCACCATTTCACCCTCACATTCGTCTGGCTCCTCATCCTCCGTCTCTACCTCTCAGTGCCAAACCTCTGCCTGCTTTTTCATTTGTCACTGATGGGTTAAATGAGGATATCGTAGCGAGAGCTTTTTGGGGGGTAATCATAGTAGATCCTCCCTCATAAACCTGGAGCTGTATAGCCCCACCTCCCCCTGTATCCTGCCACTTGACATTTGAGCTCAGACAACACTCGCAGCCCGTCTGTCACCATTTGCCTCAGATTTGCCTCCCAATTCCTCCAGAAATATATATGGATATATGCAGTTAGCTCCCCCATGAGCCACATACATGGGATGCGCATTGTTCTTACCAATAGGCCTAAATAATGATTCTACTACCCTTTAATTAAGACCTAAGGTATCCTATTTTTTGAGGATTCATGAAAATAGGTGTCAACCACTTGCAGTGATATTTTAGGGGGGGGGGGGTCATGTCTGTGAGCTCCAGTAAAATGTGTTACACAGCTGTGGATAAATGTAAAATGCCTCCTTTACTGTACTGGCCATGTTCCAACTCATTCCCGACCCTCACATATACAGCAGGAGGAAGATAGAAATGAAAAGCCCCCCAAGCCTCTGTTTGCTACCCCTTCCCTCCCCTAGATAGCTGCAACATGTGAATGTTTCTCTCCCCTCTCATTGGCTTGTGCCTTGTGATTGGCAGCTCTATCGGCCCGCCTCGTCGCTCTCCGTACATGGATCGGTCTGCTACAGAGCCCGAGCTATGAGCATCTGAGAGCGGAGTGGAAACAGGAAGAGGAGGAAGTGAGGTGGAAGAAAGAAGACAGAGGAGAGAGGAACGGGCCAGACAAGGTGGCGAGGAGTGCAAGGGAGGAATAGGGGAGCCAAGAGGGGCGTGTGGACCAAAGAGAGCGAAGACAAGAAAAACAGAGAGGTAAAAGAAGGGCTACAGTGGAGCTTCTTCGTGTGCTATTTGCTAACGGCTAAATGTAAATACACTTCATCTACGAGTGTGGAAGAAGCGCGAGCATGTGTTTCCATTTCATTTTATCCCGTGTGTGTCTATTAAATGTGCCATCGTCCTGGCAGAACATACTGCAGTGTGTGTGTGTGTGTGTGTGTGTGTGTGTGTGTGTGTGTGTGTGTGTGTGTGTGTGTGTGTGTGTGTGTGTGTGTGTGTGTGTGTGTGTGTGTGTGTGTGTGTGTGTGTGTGTGTGTGTGTGTGTGTGTGTGTGTGTGTGTGTGTGTGTGTGTGTGTGTGTGTGTGTGTGTGTGTGTGTGTGTGTGAGAGCTTCATGCATGAATGTGCAGCACAGTCTGCAGACAGACACACACACACACACACACACACACACACACACACACACACACATACACAGATACACACATACACAGATACACAGATACACAGATACACAGATACACAGATACAGTGCTCATGTGCAGACACAGAATGCAGGAGCAGAAATAAGAAATGTGAAATGAAGAATCTAGTGAAGGGAAAATGTTGCGGTTACACTCAATTAAACGTGTGTGTGTGTGTGTGTGTGTGTGTGTGTGTGTGTGTGTGTGTGTGTGTGTGTGTGTGTGTGTGTGTTTGTGTGTTAAAAAGGAGCTATAGTGATAAACAGTTTTTTTTTAAAAAGGAGCTACAGTGAGAGCAAGTGAGGATTAATCTCCCTTTTAGTCTTGTGTTTAAATTGTGTCACATCACTACTTGGCTCCAAAGAAAGTTCAGATAGTCTGTAACGCATCTCACACAGAAAGCTTTATGTCGCTATTTTTCTTTGATTTAATAAAGAGCTCAAAATGTGAGACTGCCCCCTCTCATTTTGGTGTTAGTCGGCTAAGATTTATTAAGTCGCCAAGTCACTTGTATCATGCTTATTAACTTATTTCAAAGAAACTTGTTAGCACATCTCTGGTGAAGTGGTGCTTTTGGATAAGTCTTTGTACAGGAACTCTGTTTTAAAGATTTCTCTATGAAATGAACTCATGGATTTGTTGACACAATTGTATGAGCGTTAGAGCTGCAACCATTAGTTGATCACTCGATCAGACAGGAAATAATATGCAACTTTTTTGGTAATAGATGAATCGTTAGTCATTTTCAGTGCATAATGGCGGTAATGTGTTTTTCAGCCTTTTTAAATATAGATATTTCTTGCATTTCTCTTTTTTGTAACATATCAAAGTGAATATCTTTGAGTTTAGGACTGACAAAACAAAACACGTCAAGACGTAACCCTTCACTTTGACAAACTTTTATGGACATTTTCACAATTTCAGACATTTTCACAACTAAACTATTTATTTAGAACATAAAGTTGCGGGTCTCTTTCTTTTCGTGTTTTAAATACAATAAATAAATAGTATTTTGGGTTACTTTCTACTGAATGACTAGTACCCAACGTATGCTTCCAGTTGATTTAATTGCCAGCTTTTGGCAACCACCTGAACATTTGATTCTAGGTTCCTACTCCTCTCACAACCCAGCTGTTTGAACACAAAACACACACGTGCACCCGGTGCCTTCTTCAAACCTGTTAACCTGCCTCATTGTCTTTGTTAACAAAAAAAAGCCATGTACATTTTGCATCGCTTGCAAAAGACACCCCTCTTCCTTGCTCTTGACCTTGCCTTGGAACGTTCCAGTACCCCTCAGAGAGGGCTGTGCTTTATGGAGCATACACCGGGAGAAGCTGCTATTAAAGAGAGGGGGAGAAGGGGATAGAGCTGCGGGGGTGTTATTTTTAGAAATGTGATTGATATTCGACTCATACTGTACTCTCTCTCTCTCTGTGATTGTGGCGCTTTTTCCGGCTCAAAACCAATAAATTCACACATGTGCATGCATCCAGGGAGGATTGTCCATCCAGCCTATCTGCCGCTTCCTCTTCATCTCTTCTCCTCTTGTTAGCCAGCCTGTGAGCCACCGGAGACAGACCTAGTCTGGTGCAGCCCATCTCTCCTTTTATGGTACAGGATCCTTACTACTGGCTCACAGACAGTCTCAGCAGGAGATGCACATCTGCAGTGATTCACTGCAGCTAGTAAGCAGCTCCAGAGAGTGTGCAAGAAAAGGACAGGCTGTTGGTTTGTCTAAATGAGGATGCAAATTGCAGCCTATTAGCAGATTGTCTCTTAACAATGACAGTTTTTTTTATTCAAATGACAGCTGTGTATTGCTTGCAGACGTCTATGTAGAATGAAAAACAAAAAGGAGATTTTATCTCCCACCCCACTCTATCTTGATGTCAAAAATCACACGCATACACCCCCCTGCTTGCTTGAGACCGTGCTCCCAGCTCTGGACTAAATGATATCACCGGTTGCCAGGGATACAAGGACACAGCATGCAGAGAAAAGGGAGGGTGAGGCATAGGCAGAGCCATACACATTGCATGAAAGAGAATGGAAAAGGCTGGGATATTGGGTATCTAGAGAGAAAAGGAGCCTTGTTGAAACAAGTAGTGAAGAATAAAGCGAAGGGCAGGGCGATGAAGAGGATAGTCAGGAGAAGAAGAAGGCCTGTCAGAGGTTACTGGCCCATCCATCCTCTCACTTCTCTCTTACATCTCATTTCGTCCTCTTCCTTTGTCTAGAGAGGGTCAGGTTTGCAACAGTGCGAGTGTGTGTGAAAGCATGTGTTGTAGGAAATGAGAGGCAAGGAAGAGAATGGTAGCATTACATTAGGGATTGAGGAAAGATAAATGCCTTGGTTTGAGACAATAAAACATTTCCTGTCTTCTACATCTGTGCTCCAACTGACTGTGGTGTTCCCTTACTCCCTCTGCTGTGTCTGTGTGTGTTTGCCAGCTCGCAGAGGATGACCGTGTCTATTTAAAGGGACTGCACGGGTCTGCTGTCTAGCTATTCCTGACGGACAGCGTCATCGTATTGGGTCCAGATTCGGTCTCCTCCTTTCTCAGTGCTCAAGGTAAGATGTGCTGCACGTGAACAGAAGCATCAACTGTTTGTGAGACATGAATATAGTAAGTCTACTCCTCTGTGGTGCCAGAGTGGATGACCAGGGTTTCCTTGGTGACAAGAGGCAGAAAGCAGGCTGTGTGTGTGTGGTGCATATGACAGGTTTAAAGGGACAGTTCACCTAACATGCATATATTCCTTTTACCTGCCCGGGAAACTCGACCAGCCGAGGGGGGGGGGGGAACTAGATGGCAATTGGCTTAAGGTGCTCAAAGCGGCGGAAAAACAAGACCCAGTTATGGTTATTTAAGAATATCCACAGTTAGGAGCAGTTTTTTGTAGGACAATTTTTCTTTCTGCCAAATGACACCCATCTATCAGATCACCGAACAAAGTTCAGCAACAAGCAAATTGTTGCTACATTGAAACTGCTTTCACCAAAGTCTGAAGTATCATGAGTAACCGGGTCATGTTTTCTGCAAAGGGACATTGTTGTTACGTTTCTCAAATAAATATTTTTTGAAATGTTAACACCAAGTTGGTCTGTGGTATACAGTCCAACACAGCTTGAGAAATACCTCTGGAACTACTACACACTAAACTGCACTGTTTGCATTGCACATTCTTTTCCTGAACGTATCTCGCTGTGAAGCAGAGGGTTTGCCCAACAGCAACTTAACCCCTTTTGCACATGACATCATTTGGCCAGGCTGGAGCAGAATTCCAGATGTCTCGAGTTAACCCTGCGCAGATGGGTTTAATATTGGAAGCACAGCGCCATTGTTGTGCAGAGTCAAATGTAAGCTGCTGCTGAGTGATGGCTCCCCCTACAACCCTGTAGCTAGTGTGTCCTGTAGTGTGCAACAGGGAGGGTGTACAGCAGATGGTTTATGTGCTGTCTTTGTAATGTTGCTCAAATACCAGCAGCAGGCGGGGGATAAAGCGTGGTAAGGCGTTTTTTCTTGTCAAAAAAATGATTGCAATGCTTGTGTCTAAAAATGTTATAACACCACACAAGCAGGGAACCCATGTGTTAGCATGAACCAAGCAAACAGCAACATGCACACTTTTTATTCCACTATTCTTGCTCTTATGACAATATTCTAAGTTGATATGCTTTGTTTAAATGGCATATTCATTTTGGATGCTAACAATTAGGCCTCGTTACGATTTGTAGCATTTTCCAATGAAGACATGCAATATGCTGATGTTTTGGGGCGTGTTTACCGCAGTTTAATAAACACCGCTTCCTGCTTGTTTTGCTGCCATTTATGTCCAATGCAAACAATTTCCCAAAAGAATGCAAGGCTGGAGAGATATGTTCAAAAGAAACGCCTACATTTCTCTTAAACATTATTAAAAGAGAAAATAAATATAAAGTTATTTAAACTGGATCAACGTAGGCTGTACATCATGGGACCGCATGTAATGCTAAAGTAATATAAGTGGCTTATTTCTTTATTTTCCTTAATAAGGAGATTAACAGGAATGTAGTTTTTCATTACATGAGCAAAGATATGTGACATTAACACACGTAACAACAGAGAATCAAGATGGACAATCAAGATCCCAAGCTTTACAGCGATTGATGAAGAGGTTATTTTAGCATTAGCAGAGAATCGCAAAAGCTCAGAGAGCTGGTCTCTCAAAAAGCAGATTTAAGTGGAACAGAAGGACATGAGAGAATTAGTGAGGATATAACAGCTTTATGTAGTAACTGGCACACAGTGCTGTCTGTTAGGAGAAAGTCAGGCAGTCTTCATTGAGCGTATGTTTGCGGTGCAACATTGTATGTCAGGGTTCTTACGGTCATTAAAAACCTGGAAAAGTCATGGATATTCAAAATGCAAATTCCAGGCCCTGGAAAAGGTATTGAAAACAATATTTGTCCCAAAGTCATGGAAATGTAACTAAAGTTGCATCAAATATAATGTATATGTTAGCTAATCGCCGAAATAGTAATACTATAATGATAATAAATACTGTATCGTATAGTAATGAAACGTAAAATGGCATTTACAGTAACTGTTGAGGTGTTTTGCTGGTGAGAGATTGCTGGTAGATAGAAGCTAGTAAGCCTATTTGATTTGTTTTAGATAGGCACAACATGTTTCATATGCAGACCTTATTTTCCTGTTCCATGTTCAAATAAACCATTTTCAGTGGTTCCGCTGAGAAAGAGTCATTTTTATGGTCATGGAAAATTAGGTAAAGGTCATGGAGAAGTCATGGAAAATTAGGTAAAGGTCATGGAAAAGTCATTGAAAATCATTGGTGAAAAAGTGTATGAACCCTGGTATGTACATAAAGGCCTTTTGTGTTCTCTTTCTACTCTAAAAATAAACCAAGGCCTAAATGCAGTTGACTCTAAAAAGCCTAAAGCGTCAGAGCAAGAATCGTCTGGCTTCTGTTGCTCTAGCAACTGGTAGGAAATGAACTCTTGAAGAGGTTGCTCAATGAACTTATTCAGCACACAAAGAAAGGTTATCACACATCTGCAACAGTCCAACCACAAACACACCTGGAGGGAAGTTCAACAGCAGCTCTTTAGTGTTTATAAATAGCTGTGTGGAATTCATTCATATAGAGGTAGAAACAGCAAAGCTCACTTCAGCATGCAAAGTTGATCTTTACAAGGTCATTTCAAAACAATATACTGAGCGTTAAAGGCAGCAGCATCACAAACAGCAGGACATATTTTCTGGCTATGGTCAAATACATAACTGTAATTAAAAAAAAGTTGTTTTAATCAAAGTAAGGAATCGCCTGACAACTAGCCAAGACCAATGCTGCCTTCACAGGCTCTTTCAAATGTGCCGTGTTCTTTAGCTTTACGTCCTCAGGTGGAAACATCGTAGTTGGTACATAGAAGATGTAATGTAGTTATATTGTTCAAAGAATTTAAACCCAGGCTGCAACTAACTAACACAATCGAAAAATCTGCTGATTATTTTCGTGATTAGCCGTTCGTTCTATACAGTGTCAGTAAATATTGAAAAATGTCCATCCCTGTTGTTCAACATCCAAGAATATGTCTCGCTTTGTCAGTCAAGAGAATGAAAACAGCATGTTCTGCCATCTTTGCATGCAAAATGTATTGATTAGCTGATTATCAAAAGAAATCATTTTCCTGTTGTTTATCTCACTGTTGCAGTTTTTGTTTGAGTTGTTGCACCGACTTGGAGTTACGTGCACAAATGCCCCATAACGCAATGAAAAGATTTGCATCTGTTCCAAAATGATATGAATGATGATTTCATTAGCAAATGCAACATCCTTTTACAAAGTTACATGAACACCTGGCCAGTAGCAATCCTCCGGTCAAACAGACAAACTGAGCTGAAAAGAGCACCCTCCTTGGCACGGCCTATAACAATGACAATGTGAATAGTAGGCAGAGGAAGTTAAGGATTAGAAATTCTGAGACACAGCCAGCCAAACACCTGACCTGGTGCTGTAGTCATTGTGCTTCTGGAAGTTGGTGTGCTTGAAGCAAATCAAAAGAACCATCGATCTACTGAAGCAGCTGTTGGTGATGAACAACGAGACCCTGCGGGTGGGAGACGTTTGCTGTCGATTAGAGACACATTCCCCACCTGCTCTGTAAGAGGAGTAAAGACTCAGGGATATTACTACAACTAAGAAAAATACTACTACTGCCCTCCCTGTTTTTGTCTTTCCTTGTTCATGAGTGTGGTGGTTGCTATGGCCCTTCTTCTCAGTGCCATGTTTCTTTTCTTCTGTCATTGGATGGCTACCGGCTGTGGTGGTAGCAGTGATTAGAGAGAGGCTGAAAGCACAATGTAGCTCTGCCTGTTGAAATGACCACTGAGCAGATTCAGTGCTGCAGCAAATACAGCATGAGGAAATAAAATACATTGGAGATATACTAAATGACATTACAGTCTCAATGTTAAGCACACTGTGGAAGAATCCAGAACAAAAGCAATGGCTGTGTGTCGTCATTCATGTCTTTCTTTTTGCTCTCAGGTGTGAAGTGGAGGGCCTACCAAACACAGACCAAGACTGGTAACACTTGTTTCTCTCTGTCATTTGTGTGTGTGTGTGTATATGGCTAATTACATGCAGATATGTACCATGTATATGGCCAATGAAGCACTTAGTACCACTACATTCAAGGAATAATTCAGATGTATGTATGAAGTAGTCTGGATACTAGATAGCAGTCAGTACTTTGGAGAAACAGAAAGGAGTACAGAAGCTAAGCAATGTACTGCTGAAGATTGGGGCAGCAGCAAAACATAATATAGCCAGCCAAAAAAAGTCAATATGATGTACTCACTTACATCATATCGACACTCAAAGTATTTACCTCTTGACCTTGCCATTATCTATGCTCTCTTATTTCTATAATGTTTTGAAAATATTATCTCCGATTTTAAAGAATGTAAATGCTCAGATACATTTTAAAGGTCACATGTCATGGCCATTTCCACTGATCATAATTCCATTGTTGAGGTCTACTAGAATAGATTTATACTGTGCAATTTTCCAAACTCACATTGGTTTCGCATTCGGTTCTCTGTAAACTACGTGTATTCACTCTCTCCACTAAACGGCTCGTTGTAGCTCTTGCCCCCCCCCCCCCCCCCCCCTCCCTGTGAGCCCAGTGTGCTCCGATTGGTCGGGGACCAGTCGGGGACGTTGTGAATCGCGCTAAGCTCCGTGGAGGGTGTGATTTTCCTTGTTTAGCGATACACAGCCAAACACAGCCACACTCATCCTGAGCACACACAAAGTCACAGCCGAAGTAAAAACAATAAGTGTGGCTTGATATTGAGTAAGAAAAGGGTTGATAAACGCTGTGAGAATGGGTCTGCCGAGAGAATGGGGTCTGTAGAGAGAATGGGTCTGGCAGAGAGAATTGGTCTAGTGGACAGAGAGAATGGGTCTGCAGAGAGATGGGTCTTAAGAGAGAATGGGTCTGCAGAGAGAATGGGTCTGCAGAGAGAATGGGTCTGCAGAGAGAATGGGTCTGTAGAGAGAATGGGTCTGCAGAGAGAATGGGTCTGCAGAGAGAATGGGTCTGCAGAGAGAATGGGTCTGCAGAGAGAATGGGTCTGCAGAGAGAATGGGTCTGCAGAGAGAATGGGTCTGCAGAGAGAATGGGTCTGCAGAGAGAATGGGTCTGCAGAGAGAATGGGTCTGCAGAGAGAACGGGTCTGCAGAGAGAATGGGTCTGCAGAGAGAATGGGTCTGCAGAGAGAATGGGTCTGCAGTGAGAATGGGTCTGCAGAGATGGGTCTGCAGAGAGAATGGGTCTGCAGAGAGAATGGGTCTGCAGAGAGAATGGGTCTGCAGAGAGAATGGGTCTGCAGAGAGAATGGGTCTGCAGAGAGAACGGGTCTGCAGAGAGAATGGGTCTGCAGAGAGAATGGGTCTGCAGAGAGAATGGGTCTGCAGAGAGAACGGGTCTGCAGAGAGAATGGGTCTGCAGAGAGAATGGGTCTGCAGAGAGAATGGGTCCAAGAGAATGGGTCTGCAGAGAGAATGGGTCTGCAGAGAGAATGGGTCTGCAGAGAGAATGGGTCTGCAGAGAGAATGGGTCTGCAGAGAGAATGGGTCTGCAGAGAGAATGGGTCTGCAGAGAGATGGGTCTGCAGAGAGAATGGGTCTGCAGAGAGAATGGGTCTGCAGAGAGAATGGGTCTGCAGAGAGAATGGGTCTGCAGAGAGAATGGGTCTGCAGAGAGAATGGGTCTGCAGAGAGAATGGGTCTGCAGAGAGAATGGGTCTGCAGAGAGAACGGGTCTGCAGAGAGAATGGGTCTGCAGAGAGAACGGGTCTGCAGAGAGAATGGGTCTGCAGAGAGAATGGGTCTGTAGAGAGAAGGGTCTGCAGAGAGAATGGGTCTGCAGAGAGAATGGGTCTGCAGAGAGAATGGGTCTGCAGAGAGAATGGGTCTGCAGAGAGAATGGGTCTGCAGAGAGAACGGGTCTGCAGAGAGAAGGGTCAGAGAGAATGGGTCTGCAAGAGAATGGGTCTGTAGAGAGAACGGGTCTGCAGAGAGAATGGGTCTGCAGAGAGAATGGGTCTGCAGAGAATGGGTCTGCAGAGAGAACGGGTCTGCAGAGAGAACGGGTCTGCAGTGAGAATGGGTCTGCAGAGAGAATGGGTCTGCAGAGAGAATGGGTCTGCAGAGAGAATGGGTCTGCAGAGAGAATGGGTCTGCAGAGAGAATGGGTCTGCAGAGAGAATGGGTCTGCAGAGAGAATGGGTCTGCAGAGAGAATGGGTCTGTAGAGAGAATGGGTCTGCAGAGAGATGGGTCTGCAGAGAGAATGGGTCTGCAGAGAATGGGTCTGCAGAGAGAATGGGTCTGCAGAGAGAATGGGTCTGCAGAGAGAATGGTCTGCAGAGAGAATGGGTCTGTGAGAGAATGGGTCTGCAGAGAGAATGGGTCTGCAGAGAGGGTCTGGTCTGCAGAGAGAATGGGTCTGCAGAGAGAATGGGTCTGTAGAGAGAATGGGTCTGCAGAGAGAATGGGTCTGCAGAATGGGTCTGCAGAGAGAATGGGTCTGTAGAGAGAATGGGTCTGCAGTGAGAATGGGTCTGCAGAGAGAATGGTCTGCAGAGAGAATGGGTCTGCAGAGAGAATGGGTCTGTAGAGAGAATGGGTCTGCAGAGAGAATGGGTCTGCAGATGGGTCTGCAGAGAGAATGGGTCTGTAGAGAGAATGGGTCTGCAGAGAGAATGGGTCTGTAGAGAGAATGGGTCTGCAGAGAGAATGGGTCTGCAGTGAGAATGGGTCTGCAGAGAGAATGGGTCTGTAGAGAGAATGGGTCTGCAGAGAGAACGGGTCTGCAGAGAGAACGGGTCTGCAGAGAGAACGGGTCTGCAGAGAGAATTTCGCCGCGATCCCAACTGTCTGTTATCAGCCTGCAGCCAGGGAGGAGAAATCAGCAGAGCTGCCTGCACTGAGTGTGTGATTGGTCAATTTGGACCAATCAGCGGGGGCTTAACGTAACGGCTCCGCGGATTGGTCCATTTCGTTCCGGGTACGACATGACATCAGATGTCCCCGGAAGAATCAAATGGATGATGACGTTTCACCAACGAGGCGTTTTGGGGAGGTGTTTTCTGTTTTAGAGTTTTACTCGCTACATGGTGTACTTTGAAGGTTTTGACTCTGCACACCGTTTACATGCAGAAAAACCTTCATAACACAAGGGGACGGGTAATAACCGGAAAAGCATGACATGTCACCTTTAACATGCATACATTGCATTATAATTATAACCATTTAACCTCTAGTTTAACTAGATTGCAATTTATCTAATTTTCCAAAAAATTATAATTGCAAATTCAATCAGACTGGGGACTTATATTTAAAACCAATCAACATCACTGGTTTTCGGAATAAACAAAGTTGCACAATAACACAAACAAACTGACCAATAGAGGCATCATTAGACCAGCATCTTCTGTCTTCTGCAAGGAAACATGGTTGTTTTTGTAAAAGGATACTGGTCGGACACAGCACAGCATTCACTAAGATAGTAGTGGTGATGAAGACGCACAATACTCGTGTTTTGAGCTAACAAATGCCATCAATGTCGCCATATATCCATGTTTGAGACTGCTTTTTCGTCTTTTGTTTTCTTAGTTATGTTCTCTGTATTTTATATGTTTGTGTTATGTGTAACGTTGCTGCCTTCTTGGCCAGGTCAGCATTGCAAATGAGATTTTATCTCAATGCTTTTATCTGGATAAATAAAGGTTAAATAAAAAATAAAAAAGACACTGTTTTTAGTTAGTGTTCACCAATTGCTGTAATTAGATGTTACTTTACTTGATTACAGGGCTCTTCCTGTTGGCCTTTTTTCAAATAATGAATCAGTGGGTAGAGCAGTGTTCTCCTGAATAAGCATCACAGACTGAAAGATTCAACCCATAGTGATGTCATTGCACAAGCTAAGAGCTGATTGGTTGAAATGAGCAGCACTTCCAAATTGCATTTTATAGTATATAGTCAGACGTTATTTAAATGAGGTGTTCATTTGTTTATTCAAAAGACTGAAACCCTCCTCCTCTGTGTTGCAGGCTGCATGTATCACCCCGCAGAGCTGTACTCTGGCCGCAACACATGGGACTCCTATCCAGCTGGAGGACCTAACAGAGGACAATGGGCTCCGGAAAACAGTCGCCCCTGGAGCCACACAGAAAGGTCAGCAGCGTTGTTCACAACACTCACACACTCTGCCCTGTTCAGACCTGGCATAACATGTGTCTTGAGTCATATGATCAAAAGTGGACATCTCTCAAGTTCATCAGTACATTTCTGGAAATATAATTCCTCTCCACACTTGTCTTTTGTGACCACTTGTGATCAGATAACACTTCCCTGTAATTTATGGAAATAACCACACACATCAATACTGAAGCTTATTTTGATATTAAAATCCTAATCGACATTCGGTTGCCGTGCAACTTTTCTTTTTTTTGCATGTCTATCTGTTACAACCAAGTGTTTTCTGAACAGTAACAGATAAAGATGAAACTACACTTATAATATTAGTATTGATACTATTTGTCGAGTGGATTCCAGTGGTGGCCACAGAGGATTGCCTTACACTCCTGTGATCGAAACGTTTCATTTGCGCCAGAAAAACTATTCCAAAGAATCTGGCCATATGCGTCACCATATCTAAATGTTTCCTCCCTGCATCTTGGGTACTTTCAAACCTTTGTTACCTTTTCATCTCAAAAGGACTCAGGTGCCCTCATTTAACATGCAGTTGATATGGCCTCTTATATATTTAGTGTACTGAAAAGCTTTTTCTAAGTTCTTATCCGATCATGCATTATGATCTATATTCGTGAACACCAACTAAGACTACAGTAAGTCTCATAGAAGTCAAAGTGGACTTAGCAGATAAGGAAGCAGATACAATAGAAATGCCGTTATCATGTAACAAGTGTTTGGAGGGAAAGCTGTTCGAAGCTTTCCTTAAACAAATGTAAGATCAGTGGAACTGATAGTGGCACAACTTGAAGCCTGAACGGCCCCAACAAGGGTCATTCCAGCAGCTGGGACTCAAGTCCGTGTTGTCTGGGATTAATCAAGATAAGCACCACTTTAAGGGACTGACTGATTAACTGAAGCTGTGATGAGCATATTCATGAAAAGCTCTTATTACAGCTGCAGCTGTGAGCATGAGCCCATCTTCAGTCAAACTGGACTCTGGGAAATGAAACTGTAACTTATTCTGCTGCAGAAGAGAGAAGTATATACTGTATGTAGATGTTTAGCTTCAACAATTGAAGGCAGCTCTAATGCAGTGTCTCCGTAGCTGTCTGCTTGTAGATTTGGTAATAGTAACAATTGTGACATACTGTAAACCAGGGGTAGCCAACACGGTGCGCACTTAGTCGCCCGCAGGGGCAACGTGAGTTGCCCGCGGGGCATGTTCTAAACATAGCTCACCAAGCAAATCCAACATGTAAAAAATACACAAAACTAAAAAGGAAATGTAATTAAAAGAATCTACCCTATGCATAAACGAAACCTCAATCATAGCGAACTCTATCTACTTACTACAACTCTATCTAACACCCCTCCTCCCCCCACCCCCACAATGAATATCGACCAATCACGTTCTTGCTTGATTTGCCGGACCAGCGTTGCAGTCAGGAAGAAAAGCAATGTGGAGCTGCAGCTCACCGCTTCATAAGGAGTGTGCATGTCCCCACCACTTTTCGAAATCCCGTTTGTGTCCCCCCACTTTACAAATATGTTCATTTCAATGTGTACTATAGGACAGTTAAAAAAAACTGTTTAAAGGTCCCATGTCATGGCCATTTCTACTGATCATAATTCCATTGTTGAAGTCTACTAGAATATATTTACATTGTTCAATGTTCCAAAATCACATTGTTTTCTCATATACAGCATCTCTGTATAGTATGTGTATTCACTCTCTGTCCTAAACGGCTTGTTGGAGCTCCTGCCCCCCCCCCTCCCTCCCTATGAGCCCAGTGGCCGTCTGCGAAACAGCGAGACACAGCGAAACCATCCCGAACACACACACCGACTCACAGCCTCGCCGCGTCCCGCCATCTCAGGGAGGAGAAATCGGCGGAGCTGCAGCTGAGGAGAGAGAGAGAGAGAGAGAGAGAGATAGATCGAGAGAGAGAGAGAGAGAGAGAGAGAGAGAGGAGAGAGAGGAGAACAGGAGAGAGAGAGAGAG